TCTCCAACCAGTGATCACTTTGGCACACAGCCTCAGTTTGAACCCCACGGTTTCTGATTGGTCGATATGTTTTCTCTGTCTGGTTTGTTGTTCTAATCCCTAGACCCATGGATCGCGCTAGCTCGGAGGCTTAGATCATCAGAGTTAGATGCCATAGGCCGCTAAACAGTCGATTTAACTAACTAGTTTACGACAGTTATCACAAATATGGCAATTCTCAAACATTGCTTTTCTTTCTTTCATTAAATCTACACTGAAATAAGGCACCTATTACAACCGGTTTGTTCAATCTCCCCAGCCCAGCGGCAGAAAAGCCTGTTTTCCTCACCTCAGCTTTCAAATTTGTTAAGGATTTGATTGATTTAATTGCGTCAAAAGTTGAAATCGGCTCCGAATCGTACACTTCCAATCACTCAATACAGACTTATTGGCTCCACTGACAAAGTCGATCTGAACGAACGTGAACATGGCCGGTCAACCGGTTCTCTCTCTCTCTCTCTCTCTCTCTCTGAGAGACTGTCTACCAGTTCACCTGTCCTAGTGGTAACGGACAGAAATAGAACAAATTATCGGCTATTACGACGGACGACCGAATACATTCGACTGGTGTGAGCAATGTCGACGAGGAGATCATCAGAAACTCGGGGTCATCTGTCAAGTGATATGTCGTGACTGCAAGACACATAGTGGACATTCTCTCGTCTTTCAAACCACTGTTACGTAACCACCATACTAAATTCATGGTCATTAGTAAAGTTCATACAAAGCCGCAAGACCGAAAGAATTCACACGTGGCGAGTTGCTAACATTGTGCTATGTATGTGCCCGTTTGTGTTATATCAGCGACTGAGGAGACAACAAGAGTTAGTAATTTCTGGTGAAATATTTTTTTCTCGGTCTTGTATTTCCGGTAGTCTTTGTTTGCATGTAGACTTTCAGTCACTTTGATTTATCAGACCAAACTGCAACTGCGACCTTTTTCAAACAGCGGTCGATGAAATTAAGCGACATATGAGCATATTTCGAGTTCTATCTTGTTATCCAGTGTAATTATGCTGTATTTTCCTGTCCTATCACTGTTTCTTACAGAAAACAACAACAGTAATTTACCACATCATTTCCGACTATTTGTAGTTATCGCGCCAGCCTGGTAGTTGGCAAACCGTAGTCCTTATCATCCAATCAAATGGGGATGAATTACGGATCGTCCTCTACCCGATCCGATCAGTGAAATAAATACTCTCGCCCCTCGCACCAGATCTACTCGTGTGTAACAGTCAAAATCTGGATACTCATCGATCTACATCAACTGAATGAAAACACAGTCCAATCGAATGACCGACCGCATTCCATTTTGACTTCTCAGAACACAAAACAACAACCAATTCACACCGGTCACCGATTACGCACCAACCACTCGGAACGGCGAAACTGACTACTCCGTCTACGGCCCATTCTCTCCTGCCTGACAACGCCTACCCACGCTGTTCGTTGCCCAGTCATGGTGATTGTGTGTACTGTTCCTTCTGTCCATTTACAGATATTTCGGTTTGTAAAAGTAATTGGCTTGACTGCAGGATGCTCGTGTCACGAGGCCACCTAGCGAGTCCCAAACGATTCACTAAGTCAATGCTTTTGGCTTGTTCATTCATATTTGAGTCGGCAAGCACTGTGCCCAACCGGCACCGAATTTCACAGTCATTGAAAACCATTACGTCTAGCATCTAGGTAGCTTAATTGTGTCGTCGTCGTTTTTCAATAACTGTCAAATTTATCTAGCGCCCAAGCAAGTAATTACGATTTTCTTCTGTTTATATTCCATACAAGTACATATTTGAAATCTGCCAGTTTGCGTATTCTATGTTAAAAGTTGACGAAAAAACTGAACGCATGAATTTAGCGATTCAGATGACTTGGTATCGTTTTAGGCGGTAGTCCATCATACCGAAAACACCAATCTCCAGAAATTTTCAACTTTCTCCACGCATGGGTTATAAGACTGAAAAACATCAAACGATTTAACTGCCCTTCAAGTTAGTTTGTTTGTTCGGCAAGAAATCAGTCAGACAATGGAGCGATCTAACTCGCATCGCACTGATCGTAAATGGTTTGGGCAAAACTGTGCCCGCGGTAAATCTCGGCCAGGTGAGAAAAAGTACTGTACATTTGGTGGCTCTACTGGAGTGTTGCATCTACTGGGCTCCTGGAAACGATTCCCAATGAAACATTTATTCCATCGCGTATGAAGCACAAATGCATACTTACCTCGTTGCGGGAAAATGTGTAGATGAATGTGAGTAAAGATGTTCGACGTGATTTTATTCAGTTATTTTTCGCATTTCGCAAACCGGAATTCAGAGAACCCACCTCAAATAACAATCTAGGCTGATCCGTTGGCGTATTGGTGTGAAAAATACTTCGATCATTGACAACACAAGGAATCAGCTGTCAGCTATCAGTGGATAGAAGATGATGCACGAGAAGCGGCACAATTTAGTTGGATATATGGAGTGACCTCACCTATCACGGTGCTCAATTTGGCCTATCTGAAGAAAGAAAAAACAGGTACTGGGAGTTTTGCTTGCATCCAGTAAACCTTCTTTGAGTAATACGATACATGCATGCACTGCTAGCATGTTACGAAGGGCTGGAACGTTTGTTCGTTCTACGTGTTGTTGTTGTTGACAATCTGCTTTCTGATTTGAAACATCAAATCGATTATATGAGGAGTGAATCAAACTGACCATTACAAACACAAAAACAACTAAGGAATGTTAATTTGGTTAGATTAGATTAGATTAGATTAGATTTATAAATAGGATTAAGCTGACATGGGGCACAAGACAGCCATCCGCTGCCCACACAAGTCATCTATGCCCCTACCAAGTACCCGCGTCATGTATTTGAATTTCAAATCTCCTCGGGGTGGAGGACACCTACTTCTACCCCTCAGATAACTGATTGAGCACGAATAGCTAGCGACAGGCAGTCATGTGTATACATACACAAACATGTTGGGCACATGTAAAAGAATTTCTCCAAAACCCGTGCATAATAATGGCACACATTTAATACATTCTGCTTACAAAACGATAAAATATCGCTGCACCTTGTTTACAAATCAATCATATTCCACTTTGATCCACAACAGTGAGACCAAATGTGTAAATATGTGCGAATTTTGTGTGACCTAGTAGTCGTCGATGTTTCCACAATGGAACAACACAATGTGGTCAGTGAATGAGAAATAAATAAATGTATGACGGTTTTGTAAAAACTGTTGCAACGCGATCTCACGGGAGTGTTTTTGTTCTTCTAATCAACTTATAAACTCGTAATCATTGTTTTTGTGGGCAGGTGGATTACAATGCGGGGAGCGCCTGCGCAGTCCCAACCGGACGCATACTCGTTTCACAGTTGAGCAAACATTTGAACAGGTAACCGATGATCTCAAGTAGTACTTTCAATTTCGGATACCCTGATTTGATGAAATCTAAAACCAGTTATTATTGATGGATTGATTTGAACTGGATGTCCTTTGGACTTCACCTTCACGCACAATCGTCAGTTCACCGATTAACCAATTAATAACAATTATTCCACATCACTACTCACAACTAACGGTGAGTTAAATTATTATTATTATTGTTATTATTATTATTATATCTATGAATTGCCTTCTCTATATTGATGTTTCTAATGTTGTATTCGTCAATTCGATACATTGTTGCATTTACGAATGAAACAGATGTCGTCTACAGATATCAATTCTCGGGGTAAAATAATCACGAGTGAATACGGATGCCCAAGAGGTTCAACCACAGGCACACATGTAAGTGTTTTTCTTATCATACTATCGTACTGTATTTAGTTTTGAAATATATTCCAAACTACAGAGTATGATTCAAGTTGAAAACGAGTTATGGCATTTCCAATACATGTAAGATACACACAACAGCTTTGGATATACAACTATGGTACGCGTTGTTTGTAAAATGAAAATTGTCTGTTATGGTTGAGAGAAATTGTGAGTAGTCAGTTCGGTAATTTAATTCTAAGTGGCTGTTAAATGGTCATTTCTGAGATTGCTTCGGAAAACGCGCAAGTTCTTATTGCAAACTCGCTATTCGAATGCGAAGTTACCGTTGAATAATGTGAAATTTTACGCGTCACTCTCGCGTTCCTACAGGCAGGGTCTCGGATCGAGCACTGATGATTTACAATGCCTCAGAAGAGTACTCGAGTCCATCGTTTGATTGAAACTGGCTTGTCCATAAAACCGGGAGTAAATGCGAGAATACATAAATGCATGACACTGAATTTGAGGCATCAAACACAACGAGAAAGACTTTAAAGTTTTAAAATCGAAATAAAACTAATTTTCCTGCCAATAACTATACAGTTCAACAACATTTTCCCTAAAATTGAAAGATCTTTACTGGAAAATCTCTTACTATATCCGAGACTACACTGTCTTCGACGTTGTAGATAAAGCGTTCAGTTAAAATTTCGAATTCTCCACGGCCACATGGTCGCAATGTTTGAGTTCACTTGTGCAAACTATCATAGCTCACTGTCCGTTTTCTCACTTCAGATTGTCATGCGCCCCATCCCACCTCCAAAAACAAGATGAGCATATTTCACTGACACCATCCGCTCCATTTCAGGTTTCCTAAATTCACGTGACACTATTTCCGTTCGCAATCAGAGATAGAACAAGTAAAATACGAATTGCTTGCCAATCTAGCCTCGATTTGAAATATAGCTGCAAATTTCGACTCCACGATAGGCAGTACTGCTCAACGAAATTACCATAAAAATCGTCAATTATTAGGTGAACAAAACTCAGCGCTGATCATGAAACAAAGAAGAAGGCCAGCGTATTGCATGGAAAGTATCAACAACATGTTGTGAGCAGAATCCAGTGAGGGAAGGGTGCGTGTTTCCCCATTCACCTCCGGGGGTCATTAGTTCAGTGCTGGTTTTGCTCAAATTTCGGTCTAAAACAAACCCCGATCCATCAGATCTTCCACATCATCGTACACTTTTTCCATCAGTTCCCGATATCGTAAATCTTTGCCAAATATGGTGATGAAAAATGCCTGATTGTTTAACTCATCCACACACGAGCGAAATTTCTCCCGTGCATTCTCACTCATGTGGCGCTCTGTGATGGCCAGAGCCAAACATTTGGCCTCGTCCACACTCTGAATCAGTTTCTGGATTGTGGGCGAAATGCCCGGCAGGAGACGCCTTTTCGGTCGACCGAGTCGAAGCACAATCTCGGCCGCTTGGTGACATCGATCGTGAAAATCGAAGGTCATATTCTGTTCGTGCTCATTCAGTACATCCGTGGAGGAGTAAATTGCCAAGCGAACATTCATCTTAAATAGACGTTTAGTAGTCATGCTGGCAGTTTTCACACAACCCGTGTACATTTTCAATAGAGCACAGATATTGTCAAATAGACGCACGGATGCATCGTCCAGAAATAGCCGTAGTATTCGATTGGGTAAGGCGTTGACCAGTTTACTCTGCAACTGTAGTGTGATGGATTTCACATTAAACGATTCGGCACCGTCGTCAGCCTCGTTCGCATTGGATTCCGTGTCGACTGGTTTACCAGCCATATCTGTATGCAAGTGGGTGAGTGAGTGAATGAGGTCGTGCGCTTCAACTAGGCAAACCGGCAATCACACTGGAATAGAGTCGAATAAGGGAACTTATCCGAATCAGGAGGGTTGTGAAAATAGATGAAAACCCGGAATCCGGTTCATCGACGGAGCGTAGAACAGAATCAGAATCCACTTGACCTATACACGGTTTCATCCCATTTTATTCAAAATAGGCGCGTTCTATTTTGTATTGCTCACAGATTGGTTGAGTATGAACCAATCAGAGGCGGAGATCTGGTTGGTCGTTTTCCCATTGATCCGTTCGGTACAGTCAGACGGACATGCGCAAGGACAGACAAAAGGAGTCTGAACTGGCCAGCTGAGAACTATCCATTAAACTGTTCATACCACATCCTGTGGATGTTGTACCAAAATATTTGCAAAAGGTCTATGTTGCTGTTGTTGTTTTNTTTTGTGAGAATGTGATGTTCACAGGCATATTGTATTCCTTGAGGTTTTCTGTGTGTTATTTTGCAGATTCAACTAGTTCCAGTTATAAATGTCGCTCCACTGAGTTTAACCGAACAAACACGAAATGTTTCCCCCGTCGCGTGACAAAACGAATTAGTTAAAAATGAGAAGACCCATACAGAGAGCGCACGGTATCAATGTTGATGGATGCAGATGTGGATGCACAACTGTTGTAATTTCTCGCTCCGTGCAGTGCGCCTGAGGATTGCTGGGAAATAGTTGTCCGATTACGCATGCGGGAATGAGAATTGTGCGTTGGCAACAGCCCGGTCCTATCACAGAAATCAATGATTACTAAGCGCGCGCGACAGCGAGAGAGAAAGTGCAGAAATTTGTCTTGTGCAAACTAATAGACGAGATATGTTGCTAATGGTTAGATTTTAAGTCCAACGGTTTCGCGAATTGTTTATCTGAGGCGGATGAGCGTAAATTCTGTTCCAGCTTACTTGCGCGTCGTTTCGAGCTATCTATAAGTCGCAAAAGCTCGGCCTTCTTCATGAATGTGAGCAATCAAACGTTACTTTTTACTTCTTTCCGACTGTTCTAGTTCGTCTATGCGGAAAACACACATAAGCTGGAAGTTTCCGGGCGATTAGGAATACCGGTCGCCGCGGCTGATCCCAGTCGGAACAATTTTAGTGAGAAGTGCCAAAGGGGAAGAGTTTAGTTTACACAGCAACTCGGACACACACTGATTTCGATCGATTGATAATATTGTCTTGGACTGATTCCCCTTCACAGTTCATCTTCAAGCACCATCTCCCGTTCATCTAATCGATCGTACTCACTGGAAGTGCCATACTTTCATTTCGTTTAAGTCAGAGCTCATCGGCTGTAGGAATCCAACGCTCCGTCCCCCCTTTCGACCCTAGACTCCTGACGTGAAGGACGTGTGTATTTTACCACTGTGCCAACCAGTTCGCATCCTGCAGTTGGTCAGACTTATCAATGCCAGGTTTTTCAGATGATATCTTTAACGGCAATTCATCAATTCAGTTGGCCCGACAACAAGAGAAGGAGCTAGTCCCAATTGAGAATCTCCCGCCCAAACCAGATCCTCCATAAAGACTGCTTAAATAAAATCTAACATCCTGGAACTATCTATGTGAAATTGGTGATTTGAGTCTAACCAGTGAAATGAGATCGAACTGGAGGGCAGCCTTTGACCAAGAAGAAAACGGATTTTCTTGGCAGGGGGAGGATGGAGGTGTTTGTACAGTCTGGACGAGAGGAATGGTGTTCTGTCCTGCCGGCAGTGCATTGCAACAGTTGAAAGTTACGCGAATTTCAGCCAAGCTTTGTGAAATATGGCCGTATTTTGGCCGCATTTTCCTTTTCCACACACACATACACACACACACATACACAGAGTCTGATTCGGTATGCGGTATTCTGTATTCGGTCGCACTCTTCACGAAGGGCTAAAGCAACTAGGAAAGAGTGATCGATAGGAACGGCAAAAACCGTTTTGTGTGCTTCCCGCACCCCACTCCACCCCAGCCCACTCTGCTGAGATCCTCGTCGTACCAGAAAAATTACAAGTAATCANCGAGCCGATGTGCTGGTATGTAGAAAACGACGTAGTGACTCGTTGCCGGATACACAATATGAAAACCAACTCCGGACCGCTTCCTCTGGAGCACTTATGTGTTACCCACTGCGCCAACCAGGTCACACCGGAGTTGTCCCGGATTTAAGCTTTTGTTCGGAGATGATCTTCTTTTCGGATCGATGGTTAGTTAATTCGAGTTCTCAAAGAATAAAGGATATGAATAGAGGACAATTCCCAATAAACTGAATGAGAGAGCTATCCAGTGACTCACCAGTGATATTCAATTGAATGTCTCTCGCCCCCAACACACAGCATCTCCAATGGCCTTCGGGATCGTCAAGTTCCAGATCCTGGCAGTTAATTGACGACTGCAGAGGAGTGATATACGAGGACGGAGAAAAACGTTTCAAAATGCACAAAAGTTTTATTTATTACATAAAAATACGCATTGCATTTTCTCGAAATATAGTCCACCAGCGTTCATATGCACACAGGTGCATGTGCTGAAACCCCTTTTTTGGAACAACTTAATTATGCCGAAGCGGGTAAACCTTCGACCAGTTCGATGAAGGCCTCCATTGGAGCTGTTGCTGACTCGCATCGGATTCCACGCTTCACACGCTCGACATTTGAGAACACAAAACTTGTTGAAGGCGTGTCATCATCCAAGGCAGCTCGCAAACGATCAGGACTCAGTTGCTGCTTTAACCCGCATTTGTAATTGTCGAAAATAATCTCCTGCCAATGGCATTGGCTGAGTTCTATCCTCACGACAGTCCGAGTGTATAGTGACCTCTCGTATGACTTGTGAGCTGTACTCTCGGCTCTGTTGATATTTGGTTCGATGTGAGTTGCTATCACTGAACACTGTTCACAATAGGAGATTACAGTTCACATTTTACTTCCCCGGTCATCTTCACCTGGTACTCGTCCTGTGCCGCGTATCCGGATTCGTTTTGTTCAGCCCTCGTACATACGACACTTGACATGCACTAAGCGATGCTCTCTTTCTTCTTCCACTTATTTACAGTTATGCGTATATTTTAAAATTAACTTTTATTCCTGATTAAACATTTCGGAAATGATACTCATTTTCAGAACTGATGGCGTTCTATCCCGTACAAGGTAATAAGTACGCAAATGGTGAATTAGGTATTTATTCTATTTCCAGTATGTAAATTCATACGTAGCCGGTCCGTAGGCCGGTGAGCAAGCATTGCGTCAACACGCCGACAGGCAGACACAAAACTAGTGCAACCGTTACCAAATGGAGTAAGTCATGACACTGGACAGTCAACGAACCAATCAATGTGGACAGGTCAATGCTAACCTCTGATTCACTGACGCGGATCGACCTTTTAACAGAGGAGGTCCGCATGACGTGCGTTCGTGTGTGTGTGGGGGGGGGGACAGGCTGCAACGCTCGGTCACGTGATGCACGGCAAACGTTTCACTCGACTGCAGGCCACAACGGATGGTGATTAATCCTAGGTCGACCAACGGTTAACGTTCCACTGACAACCACCAGGGCAGTAATCTAATCTGTGTATAGCACGGTATCCACACTTGAGGATCGCCACCATCTAAAGATTTAAAGATTTATTATGGGAATAACTTACAAGCTCATGCTTTTCTGGTCCCATAGGTTCGTGCGGTGGATTAAGAAACAGTGATACATACAATTCTTTTTGTAAACTGTCACATGATACGTGCGTTTTCCACTGCTTCACGCAGCTTCACTTATGTTGGAACGTAAGATGTGCTAGTGTTTCATCAAGCCTCAGTTTGAAAGACTCAATGCTTGGAACACAGACGACGTAGGATGGTAGAGAGTTCCAGATCGAACACACTGACTGCGAATGACTGACGCCGGCATTCCACGCGGCATTTTGAGACCACTAGTTTAAATGGGTGTCCTCTAAGATGAACGTTGGGTGATAATTTCAGAAGCCGTCGACACCGATGGCTTGGGTTTTGCATTATTTGGTACGCCATAATCATATCTCCTCTGATGCGCCGGTAATGATTGGAATATAATACCAGTAACTTCAGTCTCTCTACGTATGAAAACCGATTCAACCCCCTGACCATTTTGGTGGCCATCCTTTGTGGACGCTCCAGCATCTTGCAATCACGCTGTAGCCATGGATTCCAGGCCTGGATAGCGTATTCTGTGAGTGGTCGAATGTATGCTGATAGTAGGCGGGGGAATAAAGCTGACTCAAACCGGCCGAAGACCCGCTTAAGCAAGCCGACATTCTTTACAGCTGCGTTGGACACCTTGGTGCAGTTGTGTGAGCAGCTTAAGTTTTCTTGAATGATGATACCCAGGTCCTTCTCACTTGTGGCGTGTGGCAGTTGTTCATTTCCGAGGAAATATGAAAATCTCCCCCTGTGCCGTAGAGATAGAACCTTGCATTTTGGCACGTTGAATTTAATGTCGTTCATAAGCGACCACAGATGAGCTGCATTCAACGTTTCTTGGAGTGCCAGTGAGCCCGTTGATTGCGTTACTGTATTCCAAATTTTCGCGTCATCTGCGAACAGTAATGATTTTGGCCCCAGAGCCTTCGGTAGATCGTTTATGAACGTTAGGAAAAGTCGCGGGCCAAGCACAGATCCTTGTGGAACCCCACGGGTAACGTCCATAGGACTGGAAAGCGAATCAGAAACACGAACCGATACGGTCCGATGTCGGAGAAATGCTTCGATCCAGCCAAGCGCGAGGCCCCGAATACCGTGGTTATAGAGTTTCCTCAGTAGAATGTCGTGATTTACCCGATCGAAAGCTTTTGAGAAGTCAAGATAAATTACGTCCACCGCGTCACCATCATCAACTGCTCTTGTCCATTCTTCTCGTGCGATCAGCAAATTGGTAGCGCAGGATCGCTTCTGTCGGAAGCCATATTGATTCGGTGACAAAACATTGTGC